TGCTGCTATCATCAGTTTGATAGACCCCTAAATTATGATTGGAAAAAAAAAAAAAAAAAAAAAAAAAAAAAATGGTACCCCACCTCAAAATCCGCATAGGGCCCTCTCCAACCCATAAATTATGAACGGTCCCCATGAAGCTTGCTTTTTGTTAAACCTAAGAATAATCGGTATGTTAAATCGTCAATAAAATTGCTTTATTATTAAATGTACCAGCGGTTTTCGTATGAATGGAAAACGATACAGCTAATAGGTAGCCGTGTACCGTATCGTTCCGTATTTTAGCTGTACCGTACCGTGAAGCCGTACCCCATCGTACCTTACTGTAGCCATACCCCATCGTACCGTATCCGTGTACCGTACTGTAGCAGTACCCCCATCGTATACTTTACTGTAGCCATACCCAGCGCGTTTCATTCCACTTCACTGGTTTGGATATTTAAAAAATCCATTTAAACATATTTCTAAACAAATTTATGTCGCTTATTTGGCCATGTACGCGGTTCTTGAAAGAAATATATTTATTTCGTCAGACAAAACGAATCTTTGTCAGGTCAAAGGTTATTGTGTAATTTAAAATGGAGAGTATATTAAAACTTAGTGACATCAGTAACGCAAGGTTATTTTGTTCGTCTACTAAACCGCATCAGTAATGTTCGAAAGTTCTGGGAAAAAATACACCTAAATGGTTCCAAAGTACCCCCTACACCCAAATAGCAGTACATAGCAAAGATTAGGTGTTAAATGAGCTCCAGCATGTCCGCACATTTGGCAACCCAGTGCACGTCTTGTTAACTAAAGACTGAAAGCCTTATTTTCCTTTACTAACACACGCGATTGAAGCCAGAATACTGTCGTCTGAGTAGATCAGTGTATTAATACTAATAAATATCTGAATTAAAATTCTAGAAATCTTCTTTTACTGCTCAATCATTATATTACTTCTAAGTATGGAGAGCCTGGAATTACAGTCTCAGCTGCTAAGACAGCGTATGAGCCATGAATCTATGAACACGTCATTCAATCCATATATGGGTACTCTTGCGCAACTTAGCATTTTCGCGAAACGAAGACAAAAACAAAAAACAAAGGCATTTTACGACTGTTCTGCCACAGGCAACCGACTAATAAATCTATAGCGGACAAAGTTTTTTAGTTGCTGTCTTCGAAACTTGATTTAGTAAGTTGTGCTTACAGCGCCTTTCATAATTACGCGAACTCGACAAATTTAGGGCCAGCCCAAAACACGGATTTTGGAAAACAACCACGAAAACAACCGAATGAAATCCGAGCGAACCGAACGAATACGAATACTTGTGATCTAAATAGATTGAACTTCCTAAAGTTCCAGTTGGCCAAGAGTTTGAGCGAGAGGTTTCGATCAGTTCTAGTAGTAAGCATGGCTTTTGTGAAAAAGTGATGAAACTACATAGAGAAACAAAAAGTGTGTTATGGTGCAGCCGTTTGAGCATAACCTGGTATAGACCAAGATCGATCCAGATTATTTTCCTTTGAACACTATTATTATGTGAGGTTATAATTATATCCCGTAATATTTCTAAGATTACATTGTATTCAGTGGACGAGATGTTATGATGTGTAAAAATCAAACTAGAGCAAATTCCTGAATTGTAGATTTACATTCTACACGCGGATAGTTAGACAGGATAAATAATCTCGGGGAAGAAGGAGGAGCTACGAGTCAGTGTACAGATTTCCCTGCTAGCAGAGTCTCTCTTCTCTTTCTCTCCCTTCTTTCAGGCGGGTAGGAAGGAGACTCTGCCGATGTAGAGCGGTTCCTTTAATACACCGCGGTCTACGATCGTGGACGAACAAAACCAGTTTAAAAACCGGTTTTTAACCGATTACATGTAGTTCGCATGAGCAAATGTAACACACCGTGGCGCCAAACATTGTTTGACGAGAGCGGCTGTCAAAATCATGACAGCGTTGCTAAGTTACGCCACGCATGCGCGACAGAAATAGCGTCCTAGATCAAACAAAAGGAAAATAGGCTCTGCTAGCAGGGAATGTACAGATCGGTTTACGACGGAATTATCTCGATATTCAAGAAGGGTTGTTTATTCATTTCCAGCCGGTGTATGGTTTGCTCACTTTTAGAATATGACCAAAATCGCTAAAAATCGATATTATTCCAATGCCCTCGACAAGCAAAAAATAAACCGTAAGTGGACTAAGACGGTGGTTTTCAAATTAATAAATAAAGAAGATGTTTTGGAAGACGAAATGAGGCTCCACAGTCAGTGATTTTATTCAAAATATGTTTGACAGTGTTCTAATATTAAAAAATGGTGCCGAGGTTTGCTCAGTATTATTACTGGAATGTCAGTTTGGAATTAAAAGGACCACTGCCCATTTAAGATACGGTTTGATGGCCTGCTTTATAGACAAAATYTATTCAGTTCACTACTTTCACACCTCGGAGCGTAGGAGTAGAGTTATATCTTCGTTGTACTTCATACTCGACAAAATTTTCCAAACAGATAACTGAGTATTAGTAAGGTCTAACAGAAGTCTTCGTCATGGAAGTTGAAAAAGGAACGGCTAAAGGAGCAGGGATATGTGGTATCATCTTGATGGTTAGTGGTATCGCGAGCACGGTTTCAGGATCCGTTTGGGTCTCAAGTCATGGTTACGGAGGCTATGGCATATGGTCTGGCATCGGTGTAAGTATGAACTCCACGAATAGGAATTGATTGTCAGGTTTTTTACTTTCAACTTTTTCATCTAATAATTATAACAATATTTAATATTTATAAAGCACAAATTAACAAATGAATATGATCAAATGCGCTTGAAAATCAAAAACTAGCAATTTACAACGATCGAATATAGGTTATTTAAAAATACAAGAATATATATAATTATAAAATCGGAAAAACGAATATAATAAATCCGGCGCGCTGCGCTTATTGGTTACAATTTACGTCTTATGCTGTTATATTCACCTACAGGTGAATATAACGCGCGCATGCACACGCTAGTTTGTCGATCTCTGTTGCTT